CCCGGCAGAAGGTGTTAAGGGGCAAGACAATACAGTTGGTGAAAGTTCCATGGAGACACCACAGAGTTGAGGAGGCTACTTGAGAGCTTGAACAGCAGGTTCGCTCCAAGTACCGAGAGTTGTTTTCTTCCCCAGGTATGGCTTGATTTCGGGGACGAAATCCTTTTTAAGTTGGGGAGATTGTGATGTTTCTAATTTTCCACATATTTCATTTTTTCGGAATTTTGTCGCCGCAAGGGCATTTTCGTCTTTTCACGTTTTGCGTACGGGATTTTAGTTGGGTCCATTTGCATTTCACACATTTTATTTTATATGAATTAAGTGGCATTTACTTGGTGGTGCATGTATTTAAATGTGTGGTGTAATTTTGAGACAAAAAGAAAAAGGGAAAAGAAAAGAAAGTTGGTGGGACCCACCACTAACCACATAAGTGGTCTAGAGACCACAATTTATTTCCCCACTTTCTCTCTCCCCGTAACTTATTCTTCTCTCTCAATTTCTCTTCATTTTTCTTTTATTTTGAGAAGTAAACTTTGATCTAAGATTCCATCTTCAATACTTGGAATTTTTGAGTGTTGTTTGAGGCAAAACGGAGAGCATGACGAGCTCTACGCGTGAGTACCAACAATTTCAGCTTTGAGTCTCCTTAGGGATTTCGAAATTGGAGACCCATTTTAAGGGTTTTGCATCAATTTGAGGTAGGGGCCCTTAATTCATGAGATCTTGTACCTTAGTGAGTTAATTATCTTTAATTGTTGTTTAACATGATTAGATTATGTAGACTCTAGAAAATTGTTGGTAGTTATGTTTATATGTTAATTGTGATCATGTGTATTAAACGACCTATGTGAAGAACATGCTTAATTGTTGAGTTTTAAATGTTTATCATGCTAGATCTTTGTTGTATAAAAGCATGTTATGACCTTCTTGATGATCCTTGCGAATTATGCCATGTTAATTAAAATTTGTACTAGTTATGGGATGATAATTACATACATGGCATTGACGCATCTATGCATTGGCATTGGGCAAGAAATGGGAAAAATTGTTTTGAAATGAAAATGGGAAATTTTGGGAAAGTGTTTTGATGAATTGGTTTTATGAAAACCCAGTCGCCGCGGGGGTACCAAGGGTCAGGGACACTAGCCAATCCTTCTCTCGTGTCGCTGCGGGGTCACTAAAGGGCGGGTTATATTAATCGTTTGAAAGTGATGATTTTTGAATGTTGAAAATGAGGAGTGACATTGGCATGCATTGCACTCCATAGCATCATCCTGCTTATACTTGAGAATGGTTAGTATGCTATATTATCCCGACATAGTATGATCCTCACTCCCATTGCTCTATTCTTTGGTTGGATTCACGGGGACACAAGAGGCGTGTCTTAAGTGTCACCTACTGAGCAATTCGTTCACCCCATTATATTTAACATTTTTCAGGTCATGGAAAGGAATTGGCGGATGATAATCCACCGTAGGCTTGAAAGTTGTTAGAAGTTCATTTTGCTGTTTTGTATTTTGGCTATTCAGTGTATAACCATAGTTTTGAGAATGTAACATATGTTAATATTCATGGCTTTGTAACTTAAGAATGAAACTTAGTTTTCATTGAAAATAAATGGGATTAAGTTGATCATGCGATAGTACTCATGTTCATGATCGTGAAATGTCTCATTTTTGATGGTTTAGCTCACGTTTGAATCATTTTAAAGTCTCCATTTTAGGCCCCCTTTCATTTCCATAAGGCAGCAGGTCAATTTCAGCTTCAGGGCTCGAAGGAGCCATTTCAGTCGACCGAACCAAGTAGGTGATCTCAGGATCTCCTGTTTCGGTCGACCGAACCATCTTCACACTCTCGGGATCTCACCCTTCGGTCGACCGAAGGGTTATTTCGGTCGACCGGTTCTGGAGGGTCTGCTTCAGCCGACCGAAGCTCTACTTCGGTTTACCGAAGTGTACTTGTCTTGTCCTCTTGCTCTTCCTCTCATGACTTCCTACCCTTGAACCTTGGGGAAATGTGTTTTGAACCTTTGGGAAGCCTAGTGTTAACCCTAAGGATGATGTTTTGACCCTAGAAATGTTGAGTTTGACGTAGATGACCTCGAGTTCGAGTAAGAACCTGGCTAACGGTTCGGGTCTCCGGGTTCGGGTCGTCACACAATTTTGTGAAGCGATGGAAGTTTTCTGAAAAATGGGGAGTGACATGCATGACATTGCATTCATGTTAATGGCACGACATTCATTTGTTTTAAACTTGAAAATGCATATTGTATTTTTCCCGGCTTTGTATGACCCCGTTCCTTATTGTCCTATTCATTTTTTGGATTCATGGGGTTACAAGAGGTGGGTCTTAGGCATTACCTACTGAGCAATTTGGTCACCCCATTTTATTTAACTTTTTTTTAGGACCAGGGAAAGAAGTTGTGGACACTGAACCATCTCAAGCTTAAAGAAGATTAGAAACTTGTATTGCTACCCTTTTTGTGTATCTACTAATCTTTCGTAAAGTCTCAATTATTGTAAAGTCCCCTCATATTGTGAATATGGTTATGTGTTGTAATTATAAACAATAATGGTATTTTGATATAAACTTGAGACTTTGTAAATATTGAAGATGTAAGGGAAAGAAACCCTGTTTTGAATAATCATTATCACCTCTTTGTATTGATTTGTGTCTTAAACTATTGCCGTGAACTCGGAATTTCAGTCAATAATAGGTTATTATGAGTTTAGTATGCATAAAACACAGTCAGAGGCCACTCTAGTGAGTTTCAGGGTTCAAATCCCTGTTTCGGCCCGCTGACCCTCACCATCAGCCGACCAAAACTTATTGTTTAGCCGAACGAACCCCCATCGTCAGCTAATCGAAGCTTGTACAGTGAAACTCTCGAGAGCCTTTATTTCACCCCATCGTTTCAGCCGATCGACCCTGTAGGTCAGCTGGCTGATCCTGCCTTGTCAACCGGCCAATGAAAGCCCATTAACTGGCTGCTCATCCCCAATTGACCTGTGTTGGTTGACCGTCATTGTGGAACTGTGATTTATGGTATTTTGAACCCCAGAGTGAGCTCTATGACAATTTTTGGACATAAGAAGTGGCAAGTATGACCTCATTGACCTCGGGTCAGGGCAAAGACCCGGCTAACGGTCTGGACCCACGGGTTCGGGTCGTTATAGAAAAATTCAGAAAATTCCTAAAAATGATAAAAGGGAAAAAATTGAAAACGTTACAATAATTATTGGGTAAAGTACTGCCACACCCCCTGAAGTTTAGCAAAAGGATACTCAGAGGAAACTTAGCTATTTTTTGGACAAAGACACCCCCTGAAGTTTAAAAAATGGACAAAAACACCCCTTTACATGAAAAATTGACCAAATTATCTTTTGACCGTTTAGGAGACTTTTTTAATTTTACAATTTAATAAATTAGACCAGTCTACCTTTATGAACAATTTATGCATAAAAAAAAAACTTTATATTGTTCATTTTTTTGTTATTTACTTTATAAATGTCCCAACTTCTTAAAAATGTAAACGTCTAAATTGATTTTTTGATCCAATACATATATTTCAAATAAAATATATTTTGTTATTACTTCTTTTCTTTTTCTTTTTTATTTTCAAATTAAGATGCTTAATTCTTTCATCTAAAAAAATTAAACCAATCTTTTTTCCTTAAAAATAAAAAATATGGTACTAGTATAAATTTATGCATCTTAAATTATATATCAAATATTATGCATTTCCCAACATAAAAGGGGGAAAAAAAAAAAACAAAACAAAGGCCAGCATAAATTTAAGATGCATATAAAGTTATACTGATACATTTTTTTTTTTATGTTGGGAAATGTATAATATTTGATATATAATTTAAGATGCATAAAGTTATACTGGTATCCATATTTTTTATTTTTAAAGAAAAGAGATTGGTTTAATTTTTTTAAATGAAAGAATTAAGTATCTTAATTTAAAAATAAAAAAGAAAAAGAAAAGAAGTAATAACAAAATATAATTTATTTGAAATATATGTATTGAACAAAAATCATTTTAGACGTCTACATTTTTAAGAAGTTAAGACATTTAAAAAAAAAAAAAAAGCGAATAAGTTTTTTTTTTAAGCATAAATTGTTCATTAGGGTAGATTGGTCCAATTTATTAAATTGTAAAGTTAAAAAAGTCTCATAAAAGGTTAAAGGGTAATTTGGTCAATTTTTCATGTAAAATGGTATCTTTATCCATTATGGATCCTCCAGGAGATGTATTTGTCTAAAAAATAGATAAATTTTCTTTAAATATTCTTTTGCCAAACTTCAAAAGGCGTGGTTGTACTTTACCCATAATTATATTATACTTCGAGAAACAAATGAAGACTAATTAACAACACATCATTTTCCTTTTTCTTACCTAACACCGTGTAGAAAATGAGAACATAGGCCGACCATATATTATTGCAGACATGAAAATAACCAATGCGGAGTGGACTTTAACTTACATGCAGGGATTATGAGATCCTCCAAAAGATGTTCACTAAAATCAGATGTTCTAGAAGCCTTTTGATGCAATGATTCTGTGCACCGTTGAATTGAAGTCCACTGCATGACTTTTCAGGCATTTGCTCATCATAACCTCTATTTGGAGGGGCACATGTGAAGTGGGTAGGGGGGACTTATTATCTATAAATCAACATTAAGACATAAAATAAAAATAATAACAATAAGAATAATAATAAAAACAAGATTATATTAAAAATCAATTTGTGGATAAACCTTCAGATGAATTGAGATTTTTTTAAAGAGACAAGTCAATTAACTCAAGTTTCTGACAATGAAAGAACCTAGAAAGCTTCCTTAGTCTTTCCACTCAATACTTAAAAACTGAGTTATGTCTACACATTAATCATCCATCCTTTGAATACCATACTACCCATAAAGAGTGGTCCCTTGTTGTTCATTTTCCGTTCTGACATTCTTTTAAGTATTTCAGGTCTGCTTTAGCAAATCAAAGAAAGAACAGAACTGCCCAAAATGGCCAAATCAGAACATATACTTGTGTTGTACTTGTTCTACTTCATATTCAATTTTTGTTGTAGCCCTTCACTTTGTTGTCCACAAGATCAGAAAGAAGCTCTCCTCCAATTCAAATCCTTACTTGTTGGTGATTCGTTGAGAAACAAACCCATGAACACAATGGTCACTGGATTGGATTCATGGAATTCCAGTTCAGATTGTTGTCAATGGGACCTGGTCATTTGCCACCACAGCTCATCTTCACCACAGGTGACTGGTCTTAATCTCTGCGCAGCCATTCCTTCACAACCCTTGAAGACTGCTGTGACTTCAGATGTCTTGACACCCATTTTTCGCATAAGAAGTCTCATGCTGCTTGACATTTCCTTAAATTCAATACAAGGTCAAATTCCTGGAATTGGTTTTGCCAATTTGTCCAAACTAGTCCATCTTGATCTGAACGAGAATTGCTTCAGTGGTTCTATTCCTTCACAGTTGTTTAATTTGAGGTACCTACAGTACCTTGATCTAAGTAGCAACTCAATTGAAGGGACGTTGAGTGGTGATCCTAGTAATCTTACGAATTTGAAGCTACTGAACATGGATGGGAACTTTCTTCGAGGAAATATCCCTGTAGAGACTAGAAACTTAACTGGGTTGCAAACATTGTCACTTCGTCGAAACAAATTTTCTTGTAGCAACTCGATTCAATGGATGCTGAGTGGTGAGGTTGGTAACCTTAGGAATTTGAAGGTATTGAAGATGGATGAAAACTTTCTTCAAGGAAATATCCCAATGGAAATTGGAAACTTAACTGGGTTGCAGATATTGACACTTCATCAAAACAAATTTTCTGGTAGTATTCTACTGTCCATGTTAAATTTGAGGGAGCTGCAAGTGTTAGATTTGCGAAATAATGCTCTTTCTATGGAGATACCAGCCAACATTGGGGGCTTGTTGAATATGTCAACTTTGGCATTGAGCAAGAATAACTTGAGTGGTGGAATTCCATCATCAATTCAAAAGATGGGTAAGTTGGAGACACTTCGACTGGACAACAATTTTCTCTCGGACGAGATCCCAACATGGTTGTTCAGCCTCCCGGGGATGAAGAATTTGCACCTTGGAGGAAACAAACTCACCTGGAATAACAATGCCGTGGTAGTTCCAGAGTGTGTGTTGTTTGAGTTGTCTCTTAGTTCTTGTGGTCTTTCAGGGCATATTCCTATCTGGCTTTCCAATCAAACTAATCTTAGTTTCTTGGACTTGAGTAAAAATGAGCTCGAAGGAACCTTTCCACAATGGCTAGCTGAATTGGATGTTAGAAGTATAATTTTATTAGATAACAAGCTTACGGGTTCTCTGTCCCCTCGTTTGTTCCAAAGTCAAAATTTATCTGTCCTCGCTCTGTCAAGGAACAACTTCTCCGGGGAATTGCCAGAAAACATAGGTGAAGCCACTGATTTGATGATACTCTTGTTGTCCTGTAACAACTTTTCTGGGCCTGTGCCCCTTTCCATCTCGCATGTCTGTGGGTTGATATTGCTAGACTTGTCGTCAAACAGCTTTTCAGGAAGCAAATTCCCAATTTTCCACCCACAGGCTGATGTTGCTTACATTGATGTTTCCTCTAACAGATTGTCAGTTGAGGTTCCTTCAACTTTTGGTAGAGAAACAATATTGTTATCACTGAGTCAAAATGAGTTTTCTGGTCACTTGCCTTTGAGCTTGTCCAATTTAAGACAGCTTGAACACCTTGATCTCCATGACAACAAAATCACAGGTGAATTCCCATCATTTCTCTCTCAAATGCATTCTCTTCATGTCCTTAGTCTTCGGAACAATTACCTCAAGGGGTCAATCCCCAATGATCTGTCAAATCTTAGTAGTCTTCGAATCTTAGACCTGTCCAACAATCACCTTACTGGAAACATTCCTCCAAGTTTTGGAGACCTCATGGGAATGATTAATATTTCCTTTATCTCATCAACTCTCCCTGACGCATTTACCTTGGCTATGAAATTCCCGGATGATCTTTTCTTTGGATCACCAACTCTGGCTGATACATTTTCCTTTGCTATACAATACCATAACCAAATCCCTGACCTGGTTGTCAACTGGAAGAAGTCAAAACAAGATTTATCCAGCAACCTTAATATTTACTCTTTGTTAGACCTATCAAACAACCAATTATCAGGTGAAATTCCTGCTTCATTAGGTGGTCTCAGAAGCCTCAAGTTACTCAATATGTCCTTCAACTTGCTCTCAGGAAAAATTCCTGCAAGTTTTGGCTATTTGGAGAGTTTAGAGGCCTTGGATTTGTCACACAATAATCTATCAGGTGAAATACCACGAACTTTTGCAAAGCTCCTTGAATTGAACACGTTAGACTTGAGCAACAACAAGCTTGTGGGTCTCATTCCAGAGGGTCCTCAGATGGACAGGCTAAATGATCCAAACTTTTATGCAAACAACAGCGGAGTATGCGGGATGCAAATTCAGGTGCCTTGTCAGGAAATCTTACCAGGACAAGAGTACAAGGAGAATGAGTTTTCATGGGAGTTTGCAGGAATAGGATACCCAGTTGGGTTATTTTCAACACTTGCATTTGCCTATGCTAGTGGCTACTTCGACAACACAGCATGGTGGTGCCGCCACCAGCCTACTCTTCGGCTAAGGCCATGGGCATGAATTTCCTAAGGATTCAGAATATGTTTAGTGATTGGGTTTCATTCCCTGTATTTTTTTTGTAATTTTTAGAATTGAAGTACTTTTGGGCCACTTCTTAGGTTTTTGTAGATTTTCTCTATTATAGCGCGGTCAAATATTATGCAATGCTTAATCTTTCACACTTCAAGAAGTGGAATGCTTTGGACAATCACAATTGTCCATATCACTGATCCTTCACCTTCAGTAACACCAATCCCATCCTGTTGATATATAAGTTGAAATTTCATTTTCTTTTATCTTATGCATTCGATGCTTTGGGTAGTTTTTCTTGGGTTTGCTACATGAGCATTTTGATAATTCTTGTTTTTTTTGGCGGTCTCAAATTCATGATCAGTGTCACAATCTAGATGTACATTAAATATTAAATTAACAAGCATTTGACAGTGGTCTAATTATTTATGTTACAAAAGCTTTAAAACAGGGTCCGATGGATACAATTTCATGATATTACCATTTAATTGCACCAGGAGTACAGAGCAAATAAATTTTCCCAAATTACTTACCAAAAAAAAATAAAAAACCAATTATATTCATCATATTGAAACTTAGCCATTATTGCTGCAAAGTGAAAACTGGGAAGAAGACTTGGCCTCAGGGAAATTGTTCAAGCTCTTCTCAGTTTTAGATAATAAAACAAAACTTAAGAGAATGACATATTAACTAAAACCAAATTAACAAGACAGACAACTAAACATTTAGTCAAGTATATTTGTCCTTTTTAAATTAAAAATAATTATATGATACTTCAATAAACAAATGAAGACTAATTAACAACACAGCATCTTCCTTTTTCTTACCTAACACCGTGTTGAAAATGAGAACATAGGGGGACCATATACTATTGCAGACATGAAAATAACCAATGTAGACTTTGACTTATATGCAGGGATTCTGAGATCCTCCAAAAGATGTGTCACGACCTGTAATACTCCTAATTTTAAAAAGATAGTCTCAGTATTTATTTATTTATTTTTATTATATTTTTTTAATTGTTTAATTGATTATTTAACTAATTATTTATGTGTTTAATTGAATTAAGTATTACTTCATTACTTGGCTACTTATTTATGTGTTATTTGTATTTTGTCTAGGTGCTATTTGTATTATTTATTTAATTAGATTAGGTGCTTAAATGATGTATTTGATTAATTGTAATTAATTGTAAATTAAATGATTAAATATTTTATTTTATTTTATGGTTAGTGGTAATGGGCTAACTAATTGGGTCCCATGAACTACTTGAATAAGAGGTTGGATGGGTATGGATAATTACCCATGGATATTTGTATATGTATATATATAGATATATATGTATATACATATATATAAAAAGGAAAGTAATTTATTAATATTATAGTAACTTTAGTATTAATAAATAATCTGATGTATATATTTTATATATTTATATAATAAGGATATACATATATTTTATACGTAACATGTTTTAAGTTACCTTTTTAATATTATGGTAACTTTAGTATAAATAAATAATCTGATGTATATATTTTATTTATTTAATGAAGATACAGATAGATTATATACTTAACATGTTTTAAGTTACTTTTTAATATTATGGTGACTTTAGTATAAATAAATAATCTAATATATATATTTTATTTATTTAATGAGGATATAGATAGATTATATATGTAACATGTTTTAAGTTACCTTTTAATATTATTGTAACTTTAGTATTAATAAATAATCTAATGTATATATTTTATTTAATTAATAAGGATATACATAGATTATATACGTAACATATTTTAAGTTACCTTTTTAATATTTTTATTTTTTATTTTTCTTTATTAAGTTGACTTGGATTGGGAAAAGGAATAGGGTTATTATTTAGCCTATAAATACACAACTATAGGTTGAAAAAGGAGTGAAAATATATCACGTAATATATTCTATAGAGAAAGAGTTAGAGAGAGAAGGGGAAAGAGGAAGGAATGAGGAGAAAATCCTGTAGAGAGAAGATCAAGGAAGAAGAAGTTTAATTTTCGATTCGAAAGTTTAAGATAAGTTCTTCTTCTATCTCTTTCCCTTTGATTCGTGTTTCTGTACATGCCTAGGAAATTCCAAAATTTATTAAACACATAAAATTAAATAATTTTGCATGTTTAATTAGATTAGAACGTAGGTTTTATGAATTTGGTTCATATCTGTTCTTGTGTTATGAATTGATAAATGCATGATTTTGATTTGATTTCCGGTGTGAATTTTTACATGTTTAAATTATGTATTTTTCATATCTGTGGAACGATGGAACGTAAAAACATGTCTAGGATTCCTGAACATTAAATAGAAACTAGGTTTGGGTTTAAATAAATTTAAATAGACTCAATCATAATGATGCTTGCTATTTGAATGTTTTAAACAAACGAATGAATTTAATCTTTTAATATGTTTTAGCAATTGAGATTAAATGTATAAGATGAATTGGATATGGAAAATGCTTATTTGACGGTATAATAAAATATCATCATATGTATAAGATTCAGTTTATGTAGGACATATGATATAGGAAGCTTAAATAAATAATAAGTCATTCATATTTTGTGATAACTTGATATCATATTATTATAGTTATTTCTGAATTGTTTGATGTATTTCCTTAATCGTTACATTAATTGTTGGATTGTGTGGTTTAATGCACTGGTATGAGACGGTGGCATTCTAGGGACGAATTAACTTATCAGTTAAGTCCTACCTATTTTATATAAGGGAATGGATTAACTAAAATGTTAAGTCCTACTTATATTCAAGTCAGATCAGCTGAACAAGTTGAATGACTTATGGATAATTAATTTATTATATAAGGGAATGGATTAACTAAAATGTTAAGTCTTATTTATATTCAAGTCAGGTCAGCTGAACAAGTTGAATGACTTATGGAGGATTAATTTATACCGGATAGGATGGTTACTAGATTATATATATATAAGTATGGTGCCATGATATGAGCTTGAGTCTCAAGATCAGTGGTTATGGTGCGTATATCGCCAGGGATGTGTAGCTAGATATAGTGTAGTTGTATACCCTGGTAGGTCTAGGTATTCATGCCCACTATATGTGCGTTTTGCATGTTGCCTACTATTCAGGTTGAGACAACCCTATAGTCTAGTGAAGTTCCTTTAGTGTGTATATATATATATATACGAACTACTAGTTACTGTTGAATTGATTAGGATGTATACGTGTATCGGATCTCTACTTGGACTGTAGTAGAGTAGAACTTGTTTGTGGGGCTTACCCACCATTATTTTTCAAGTGTTCGTCAGGAGTAGAGGTTGTTCGTACTGAGCAGGGATCAGTCTACTTCATTCTTCCGATGCTACATAGGAGTTCTTTTATGATTCAGTTTCCTGATTTAGACAGTTATTGCTGTCATTTCTTTAGTTTGGATTTTCTAGGGGTCCACACAGTATGGATTCCCGAGTTGTATTTTGGAGGATCAGTTGTATCAGAAGAGTTTATTAATTAATGGAAATATATTCTGAGGTTTATTATTAGATTATCATTTAAGTTTCTTGTCAACATTTTATTTATTCTTCTTTATTCTTTTGTACTTTGTGTTCGTTTATTATCAATTTGTTTTGATATCCTCGGGTATTCGGGCGTGGGCCTGGCCAACCCGCATTCATAAATCCGAGGGGTATCACACGACCCGAAAATCTTAATAAAATTTTCAATTTATACAAATTTAAATAAATCAAAATACACCCAGCTAAAAAGTTATACAATAAATTAAATTAAAATCTTAAAAATTCGAGTTATCATGTTCAGTAAAAACAGATGTTCTAGAAGTCTTTTGAAGTCTTTTGATGCAATGATACTCTGCACCGTTGAATTGAAGTCGACTGCATGACTTTTCAGTCATTTGCTCATCATAACCGCTATTTGGAGGGACACATGTGAAGTTGGTAGGGGGGACTTATAATCTATAAATCAACATTAAGACATAAAATAAAAATAATAACAATAATAATAATAATAACAAGGTTATATTAAAAATTAATTTGTGGATAAACCTTCAGATGAATTGAGTTTTTTAAAAGAGACAAGTCAATTAACTCTCAAAGTTTCTAACAATGAAAGAACCTAGGAAGCTTCCCTTGTCTTTCCACTCAATACTTAAAAACTGAGTTATGTCTACACATTAATCATCCATCCTTTGAATGCCATACTACCCATAAAGAGTGGTCCCTTGTTGTTCATTTTCCTTTCTGACATTCTTATAAGTATTTCAATTCTGATTTAGCAAATCAAAGAAAGAACAGAACTGCCCAAAATGGCCAAATCAGAACATATACTTGTGTTGTACTTCTTCTACTTCATATTCAATTTTTGTTGTAGCCCTTCACTTTGTTGTCCACGAGATCAGAAAGAAGCTCTCCTCCAATTCAAATCCTTACTTGTTGGTGATTCGTTGAGAAACGATCCCATGAACACAACGGTCACTGGATTGGATTCATGGAATTCCAGTTCAGATTGTTGTCAATGGGACCTGGTCATTTGCCACCACAGCTCATCTTCACCACAGGTGACCGGTCTTAATCTCTACTATGTCATTCCTTTACTACCCTTGATGACTGCTGTGACTTCAGATGTCTTGACACCCATTTTTCGCATAAGAAGTCTCATGTTACTTGACATTTCCTCCAATTCAATACAAGGTCAAATACCTGGAATTGGTTTTGCCAATTTGTCCAAACTAGTCCATCTTGACCTGAGGATGAATAACTTCAGCGGTTCAATTCCTCCTCAGTTGTTTAGTTTGAGGTACCTCCAATACCTTGATCTAAGCAGCAACTCGATTCAAGGGATGCTGAGTGGTGAGCTTGGTAACCTCAGGAATTTGCAGCTGTTGAACATGGAAGAAAACTTTCTCCAAGGAAATATACCTATGGAGATTGGAAACTTAACTGTGTTACAGAAATTGTCACTTCGTCAAAACAAATTCTCTGGTAGGATTCCAGTGTCCGTGTTAAATTTGAGGGAGCTGCAAATGTTAGATCTGCGAAATAATTCTCTATCAATGGAGATACCAGCCAATATTGGGGACTTGTTGAATATGTCAACTTTGGCATTAAGCAAGAACAACTTGAGTGGTGGAATCCCATCATCAATTCAAAAGATGGGTAAGTTGGAGACACTTCGACTGGACAGCAATTTTCTCTCCGGTGAAATCCCAGCATGGTTGTTCAGCCTCAAGGGGATGAAAATTTTGCACCTCGGAAGAAACAGACTCACCTGGAATAACAACACCACGGTAGTTCCAGAGTGTGTGTTATCTGAGCTGTCTCTTAGATCTTGTGGTCTTTCAGGGCATATTCCCATCTGGCTTTCCAATCAAACAAGTCTTAATTTCTTGGACTTGAGTGAAAATGAACTCGAAGGAAACTTTCCACAATGGCTGGCTGAACTGGATGTTGGAAGTATAATTTTATCAGATAACAAGCTTACGGGTTCTCTGCCCCCTCGTTTATTCCAAACTCGAAGTTTATCTGTCCTTGCTCTGTCAAGAAACAACTTCTCCGGGGAATTGCCAGAAAACATTGGTGAAGCTACTGCATTGATGATACTCATGTTGTCCAGTAACAATTTTTCTGGGCCTGTGCCACTTTCCCTCTCAAATATCTATCGGTTGCTATGGCTAGACTTGTCGTCAAATAGCTTTTCTGGAAGCACTTTCCCAGTTTTCGACCCAGCGGCCCTTGTTGCTTACATTGATTATTCCTCTAACAAATTGTCAGGTGAGGTTCCTTCAACTTTTGGGATAGGCTTAATAATGTTGTCACTGAGTCAAAATGAGTTTTCTGGTCACTTGCCTTTTAACCTGTCCAATTTGAGCCAGCTTGCACACCTTGATCTCTATGACAATAAAATCACAGGAGAATTCCCATCATTTCTCTCCCAACTATCTTCTCTTCAAGTCCTTAGTCTTCGGAACAATTTGCTTGAGGGGTCGATCCCCGATGATCTGTCGAATCTGAGTAGTCTTCGGATCCTAGACCTCTCCAACAACAACCTTACTGGAAATATTCCTTCAAGCTTTGGAAACCTGAGGGGAATGGTTGATATTCCCTATATCCCCACTCTCTCTGACTTGGTTACCTTCCCAATTGAATTACAGGACTTGTTAGTCAACTGGAAGAATTCAAAGCAAGGTTTATCCGGCAACAACCTTGGTATTTACTCTCTATTAGACCTCTCAGACAACCAATTATCAGGTGAAATTCCTGATTCATTAGGTGGTCTTAGAAGCCTTAAGTTACTCAATGTGTCCTTTAACTCACTCTCAGGAAAAATTCCTACAAGTTTTGGCGATTTGGAGAGTGTAGAGACCTTGGATTTGTCACACAATAAGCTTTCAGGTGAAATACCTCAAACTTTCGCAAAACTCTTAGAATTGAGCACGTTAGACTTGAGCAACAACAACCTTGTCGGTCCCATTCCAGAAGGTCCTCAAATGGACAGCCTAATTGATCCAAACTATTATGCGAACAACAGTGGACTATGTGGAATGCAAATCCAGGTTCCTTGTCAGGACGTGCCGCCACCACAAGAGGGAGAGGAGAATGAGAGCAAGGAAACATGGTTTTCATGGGAATATGCAGGTTTTGGGTATCCAGTTGGGTTGTTTTCAGCAGTTGGAGTGGCCTATGCCATTGGCTACTTTGACAACACCACACTGCGACGTCGCCGGCCTCCTATTAGGTTTAGGATTAGGGAATGAATTTTCTGAGGTTTCAAAACCTGTTCAGGACATCTAATTATGAAAGTCTAAATAATTAGTCCTCTCGTAAACATCCACAGGATAATGTTTTGCATCATAAGCCTGAGGCCTCGTGTTTAAGATATATAGTTTAATGAAAGAATCAATTAATATAAATCATCTTCCTTCTTAAATTGTCTTTTCCATTTCTCTGTTTGGCATATCATGACTTAGATAAAGAATCATAAAGTACTGTTAGTAAAACTCTTTAAGTAAAAGTACTGCATCAATCTGAGAGAGGTTTATGGAACAACTAGACGCTGCTATGACCCCATGACAAATAAATCAGACTTCTAAACAAACATTATGCAGTCCTGAATATAAACTAAAACCAGCCATTATCACAAAGTGCTTAGTTTGCGTACTTCAAATATACAATCATTTTCATGTGTTTAGTTGAAATTCATTTGTTTTCTTTTTGCTTCTAATGTTATGCATAAATGTTTTCCGTAGTCTTGCTTGGCGTTACCTATATAAGCATTTTGATATTTCGTTTCTTGGCATGCAGTCCCTGGTTCACGATCAGCTACACTATCTTGATGCATATTAAACATGACATTGGCTTTGGATAGTGATATTTTCCCTTAGGCCCCAAAAGACTAAAACTAAAATCTGATAGAGCCAATTACATGATGGGGAATAAGTGATCTAGTGTCACTTTTGAGTCATAATGTTATAATCTCCAAATCAAGTAGTAAAGAAATTAGCAATTTGATAACACACAGACTTCTTTTTACAATGTTTTCAGGAACCCAATACTCAATTGATATCTAAAATATATAATTTCCTAACTTTGGTTATCACATACAACAGATTGATCTGAGTCTGTCCATCATTGCCTCAACAGGACTACAAGACTGGCTAGGAATTAGTTTTCACAATTTTACAGTTGAATTACTTACTTTCTTCCAAATGCATGTCTCTCCGAGTTATATCCTCTACTTGTACTCTCTCATAGCTCATTGGGATCTTCCAACTTGATAAATATCATATCATTTTCGTAACTTAGTTTTCATTTTGATTATCATTTTGCTGCTATATATATGTATTATGTACAGACACACATGTATATATTTCTTCAACATCCTCGCACATAAATCTTGAATATAAAAGGCATAAAATTCATAAGCAAGTTATTTTTTCATGAGATAATAAATTATTGAAGTAAAGAGGAAAAGCCCAAGACAAGCAATTTCATAATACACAGGTCTTAGAGGTTATTGTCCCTTTAAGTGGTAAAACAGAATTGTTCTCTAAGCATTCCCTGCACTAAAGCTAAACTTGAACATAAATGCAAACTAGAAGAATTTGTAAGTAGCAGAGTTGACTTTTCTTGGTTGGTTGGTAAGAAAATGAAAATAAATTATTCTAGCAACTTTCATCACAGATAAATTACATACCAGCAAATCATGTAGAATTACAAGTGAGGGCCATTTATGCCCATTTTAGGCAAGAATACCTGAAAAAAAAAAAAAAAAAAAAAAAAAAAAGGAGTAGAATGGGAACATAAAACAACATATTAGGATTAGAAAGGGGAGAAAAAGTAAATAATTAACGCTTTATTTATGTGAATATAAATAACACAAATAATCAATCACTTTCTTCCTTCCAATTTCTTTCACTTGGGAGTGAAAAATATAAAAAATTGTTAAACTTTTTCTAGTTATATTTTCCAATCATTCCTTTTCTAGACGGAATGTAAGATATCTGGACTTAACCCCCCTTAAACACCTCCTAACTCAGCAAGAAATTCACTCACAGCTTCTATATAGCCTATGGGCACTAAACTCTAGAAGTAGAAAGGCAAGAAAATACCACTTGGCACCGTACTTCAACTTATTTTGAACTGTTAATAGCAATATAATTATACGGGTTAGAACATCAATGGTGGAATGAAAGTTCAAATGCAAAGGAACTATATTGGTTAAAATATATATGTGTGTGTGTATATATATATGTTTATATATTTTGTGATGGTAAGTTTACAAATACTCTATTTATCTTACTGGGAACTCAAACCCTCAACCTTCTATGTGAAGGAGGATTCCAGTAAAACACTGCTAATAACATTTATTTATCCTTGCAATCTCAATATAAGTATTACTCTCTCCGTCCCAAAATAAGGGTCATGCTTTCATTTTTTGTCCGTCCCAAAATAAGTGTCCACTTTCCTTTTCCAAACAATATATTTCACATCATTCCAAAAATGTCATTTGAGTTTAAATTTCAAACTTCAATATTTAAAACTTAAAAGGGCAACGTAGTAATTTTTCAGACAGACAATACATGGTCTTACATGTCTCCCTAAAAATTATTACTCCCCATAAGTAACACTTATATTGGGATAGAAAGAGTATTATATAACCCAATGATTCAAAATAATGATAAATGACTCCAGAACAAGTAACACCGTTTGAATTCTCTCAATAACTAACCTGTCATAAACGTGAAACAAAAATGTGCTAAGGATCCATTAATCACCACCTCTATAGTGAAGTTTGACCTCAATTTTCATGGATGAAACTGTAAGGGAAATTTTGGTAAAAGTAAGAAAAGACAGCAAGAGAGGAATTCTGTATAGAGTAATGGCGCAACTCGACGAGTCAACCTCAATCCAATCCCTTCCTTTGTTTTTTTTGTTTTTTTACGAACTTGGACAACATGGTCTGGCCTAGGTTCAACGAAATTTAATTACAGTACAATTTAGTATGGACATTTAAATTTAATAATTAAAAATATGTGTAAATTGATGGTCAATTTTGATTAATTTTTTATAAAAATTCTAAAATATTCTTAAAATTGAACTTAATATTTTTTTAAAAAAAATTTGTCTCAAGGACATTTTAGTCTTTAAATTGACAAAATACGGAATATTTTTTTTGTGCTTCGAAAAATAATTTAACAAAAAAAAAAAAAAAAACAGTTCCGTTGCCCCAATCTCTGAATTCCACAAACCTATTTTGATTCCCAAGGTTTCGCACCCCACTTCTATGTCTAACTTCCGCCCTATCACTCTTTGTAATGTGGCTTATAAAATTTTTTCTAAAGTGATAGTTAACCGTTTGAAACCTTTGCTCCCTTTGCTAATTACTGAAACCTAGAATGCCTTTGTACCGAACCGTCTTATCCATGATAACATTTGTAATGTCTGGAATTTAAAAGGCAAAAGAAAAAGATAAAAGATTAGAAAAAAAAAAAAAAAAAAAATTGTTTGGGGCCCACAAGTTTAAGTGGTCATAAGACCACACTTTTTTTTTTTTTCCTTTTTTTTGTTCTCTGTCTTCTGTCTCGCAGCTCTCTGCCGCTTGCCTTTCTTTTTTCTTTTCTTTTTTTCTTCTACACAATTAAGCTTAATTTCTCCCTCATTTTTTGGCGGATTTAAGTGCCGTTTGAGGCAAAACGAAGCCCATGACGAGCTCTACGCATCCATACTAACAATTTCAATTTTGGTGCTCATTTGTGCATTCGAGTTTAGAGACCCAATTTCAAGGGTTTTGTTCAATTTAGAGGTAGGGGCTCTTAATCCATGTTTTTCTTGCTCCATTGTGAATTATATCTCTCTTGTTGTGACGAGCATATTTAATTTGGAAATTAATTGTTTCAATAATTATATAAATGATGTTTAGGAAAATTCATGATTATGAATATGAGTAGAAAAGCATGCTTAGAGGTTGTCTTGTTGTGTTTAATGTTTTGATAATTCATTTGCAGATGTTGAACATGATGTATGCTTAATTTTGTGGTGTAAAATTTTGTGTTGTCTTGTTGTGTTTAATGTATTGATAATTCATTTAGAGATGTTAAATATGATGTATGCTTAATTATGTGGTGTAAAATTCTAAATGCCATAATATTGAAAGCATGGGATATATATACATGTACATACCATTGGGTTTGCATGAAATGGGAGAATTTGCTTGAAACAAAAAGGGAAATTTTGGGAAAAGAGTTTTTACGAAATGATTTTATGAAAACCTGGTCGCCGCGGGGGTACCAAAGGGCCGGAGTGTTAATATGGCCTAGAGGGGACTAGGGAGTCGCCCTAGCGTGGTTGAGCTAGCTGGGCCCCATAATGACGCCGCAGGGTTACCAAAGGTCAGGGACACTAGCCAATCCTCCTCTCGTGTCGCTGCGGGGTCACCAAAGGGCAGGTTATATTAACAGTTTGAAAGAGATGGATTTTAAATGTGAAAACGGGAAGCGACATCGGCATGCATTCGCATTTCATGGCATTGCATTGTTTGTACTTGAGTTTGATTGGAATGTTGTATTATCCCGATATTGTATGATCCCCATTCCTATTGATCTATTCTTTGTATTGATTCACAAGGACACAAGATGCGTGTCTTAAGTGCTACCTATTGAGCTTTATGCTCACCTTATTATTTAATAATTTTTTTCAGGAAACGGGAAAGAAGTGGCGGATGACTTTCCACCACAGGCCTAATTTGGATTAGAAGATTTCTTTTTGCTATTTTTGTATTAAATCCCATATTTTTGTAAAATCTTAGTTTGTTATATTTGGTATAGAGATTCGTGAACTCTTGTTATTGTAACTATATTTTGGGACTGTAATTATGATAATTTGGATTAAACGGTATGTAGATGTTCCCCATGAGATGAGCCACGTTGAGGTATAATGAACGGATGAATGGGATGCTGGAGTATATTTTTTTTGTTTTGTATATTGGGACAGGTTGTTGAAGGACCACTTTTAGGGGAGGTCATGCCGAAATTTTTGTATAAATGGTTTTAGTTTAGGGTCGTTACAACATTCTTCTTGCACACGACTTTCTCCACGTTCTGAAGTCCAAAAGGAGTGGAAACCTTTGTTTTTTGGCCCTCAAATTGGATATGGCGAAGGCCTATGACAGGGTTAGTTGGGCTTTTCTGGGCAAGTTTTTACGGTGTTTGGGTTTTGCTTCGAGTTGGGTAAATTTGATTATGGAATGCATTTGTTCTGCGCCATATTCCGTTTTGATTAATGGTGAACGGGGTGCGGATTTCTTTCCTTCGAGATGGCTCAAACATGGAGACCCATTATCGACATTTCTCTTTCTCTTTTGTACCGAGGGTCTCTCCCTCTTATTTAATTCATTCGGTCGGCGTGCTTAGTGTTTGGGTCTAAAGGTAGGGTGTGGTTGTCCTTTGATTTCGCATCCCTTGTTTGTAGATGACGCTCTCATGTTTTGTCGGGCAAGAGATGTTGAGGTGTTTCGGATCAAATCTATTCTAGATCGTTATACAGCCTTAACGGGCCAACTGGTTAATTTTGATAAATCCAGCTTATTTTTTTCTCCAAATACTTCAGTTTCACAGAAGGAGGTATGTCGGCGGTTGTTGGGTATTCATAATGTGGACTGGCCAAATAAGTATCTGGGCTTGCCTTCTTTTTGGGGTCGATCCAAGACAGTTGCTCTTAACTTTTTGTCGGAAAAAGTTTCTGCAAAGGCTAGTTGTTTAAAGGGTTCTCTGTTGTCTAAAGCTGGTAAGGAGGTACTTCTGAAATCTATTCTTTTGACTATTCCAGTGTTCTCTATGCAGTGTTATCGGCTTCCCAAAAAGAATTGCCAAGTCTTGTCCAGCCAGCTTTTGAATTTTTGGTGGGGTGGGGTGGAGCGATCGCATAAAATTAAATGGATTTGTTAGGCTGATATGTGTTTATCCAAGGATGGGGGAGGTCTGGGCTTTCGGGATGTTGAAGCCTTCAATATGGCACTTTTAGCTAAGGTTGCTTAACGCATGGATGTAGGCGATGAGTCTATATTGTACAAATCCTTCAAGCCCAAATATTTTAAAAATTGCAGCTTTGTGGAATCGTCGTCTCTGTCTCATGCTTCGTGGGTCTGGAAGAGCATTTTCTCTGTTTTCAAGAGTTGATCCGGAAAGGGTTGAAATGGGGTATTGGGGATGGAGCGAAGATGAAATGCTGGTCTGACAACTGGTTATCGGACTCTCTTAACCATGCTGTTTCTTCTCAGCCTCACGGAGCGAGCTTTTCCTTGGTGGCTGACTTAATATCCTCTTCCCTTCACTGTTGAAATGTGGAGTTAGTGGACCGGTTTTTCAACCAACGGGATCGTGATCTTATTTTAAATATCCCTCTGAGTTTGTTTCGGCGTGAAGATCATAAGGTTTGGGGCACCTCTCTTAATGGTCGTTTTTCTGTCAAAAGTGCTTACCATATTGCTTGCTCTCTCCTCCATAAAGTGCCCTCCTCTCTTTCGGAGACAAGTTCCAGTTTTGATGCCGTTTCTGATTTGATGTGGCGAAACGTGTGGAAGATTAAGGCCCATCAGAAAATCACTCTCTTTATTTGGCAAAGCATGCATGACAGAATTCTGGTCCAGTCCCAACTTGGGATTCGTGGGGTTCCTTCTTCTCCAGATTATCCTTTTTGTGATTCGGAAGTGGAAACTATTGATCACCTGCTATGCACTTGTGCCTTCGCTCAGTTGGTTTGGAAATTATGTCCGCTCCGGATCGTTTTTTCTTCTCCAGCTCCTACCATGTGGAAAAAACGATGGTTTGATTTGTGTGATCGTTGGTCGCAGTTGGGGGCTTTTGATGATTGTACGAGTTTGGCGACGTTTGTGTGTTGGTCTATATGGAAGTGCCGCAACGATCTTGTTTTTAATAGGAAACGTTGGAATCCTTTTGATGTTGCTCAGAAAGCGTTTACGGACTTTCAGGAATTTCAGGAGGTGTCTCGGCAAAATAATCTTCTATCATTGCCCTTTTGTCCAGTCTGGCTCTTTCCAGCTGTGTGGTCGGCCCCAGCCTTGGAGTGTTTCAAACTGAACTTTGATGCAGCTTTCAACTCTTCTCATCAAACTTGTGGAGGTGGAGTAATTCTTCAAAACCATTTGGGTCGGCCTGTCAAAGTTGCCACTTTTTTCCTTTCTCATTCTAGTCTTTCTTTGGCTGAAACTTTGGTGTTAAGGGAATCGCTCTTGCTTCTAAATCGTTGGGGCTACAAGGATGTCGTGGTTGAAGGGGATTACAAGCCTGTTATGCAGTTACAAGTGACAGTTGAAGGTCAGGTGGTGTTTTTCCTGATATTTGTTCCCTTCTCTCCCTTTGTCTAGGTCCTTCTTGTTTGGATTCCTCTTGGAGGAAATGGTGTCGCTCATTTTTTGAGCAGAAAGGCTCTTGCAGCCAAGTGTGGTGATTTGGAGTGGAGCATATGGCACCCGTGGTTGTTAAATGCTCTTCTCCCTATTTATTCTTCTTCCACTTCTATGGCTTAATTTGTTTGTTGGCGAAAAAAAAAAAAAAATTACAAATTTCAAATTTGTCGAGGGTATTCACATAAATACACATTACAAGTTTTTTTTTTTTTTTTGGGTCGTGATAAAAAAATGCTCGAACCCTTTACTTTTGATTATCCAAAACATAAGGGAGGTTAATGCAATAAATTCAAACTTAAGTGTAATTTACCATTTAATTTATCTCTAGGGTAATTTTGAAGAGTTCAGGGAGAGAATAGTCATTTGACGCCCCCAATAAATAACAGAGGCACACGCTTATACCCAAAACCCTAGTCCCTCCCGCCTCCGCTACTCACAGTTGCTTTCAAGCTTCACATTTTTCTCTGGTCTGTTAGGTTTGGTGAGGAATGAGACCTCCGAGAGGCCGTGGAGGTGGTGGATTCAGGGGCGGCAGAGATGGCGGACGCGGCAGAGATGGTGGCCGTGGCGGTTTTAGGGGCGGTCGGTTCGGTGGAGGTGGCCGTGGTGGTTTTCGTGACGAAGGCCCTCCGTCCGAAGTTGTAGGTCTGTTCTTTTTTTATCTCTCAATGCGTTCGTACATGTGTTGACGCATATGAATATTTTTTTATATATAAATGTATGTATATATCGTTTATTTATTTTGTTTTTCATGTAAGCTTTGTTTTTTTTATGCAGAAGTTTCGACATTTCTTCATGCTTGCGAGGGTGATGCAGTGACGAAGCTCACCAATGAGAAAATACCCTACTTTAATGCCCCTATTTATCTGCATAACAAAACCCAGATTGGCAAAGTTGATGAAATTTTTGGTCCCATCAATGAATCTGTGAGTCTTCTTAACTTGTCATGTCTTGACCAAATTTGGGTCTTTACCTCCTTTGTAATATATATGTATGTGTGTGTGTGTGTGGAAGTTTATGTTTAATTTCTGAGTGATTACCTTTTTTTTTTGTGGTTATTTTGTAGTTGTTTTCAGTTAAGATGATGGAAGGCATAATAGCAACATCATATTCCTCGGGTGATAAATTCTACATTGACCCGGCTAAACTTCTGCCGCTGGCAAGATTTCTTCCACAGCCGAAGTATGTTTGTTTTTACTTACTATTTAGATACTAAAAATAATTTGTGCTTTTTTTTTACTTACTATTTAGATACTAAAAGAATTTGTGTTTTTCTTATTATGAATCAGTTATTGCTATGCTCTTATAATGTTCAAATGCATCTTAAAATGTAACTAGCTTGGAAATCCTGAAAATGACTTGGGGTTATTTTGTTTTATTTTTGAAATTGTCACTTGCACCCGTTTGCTAAATGTGTGTGTGTGGAGGGTGAGAGAGACGAATGCGCACATGCATAAACAAACCCGTGGGGTAGAGTTGTGCCAATGCACTTAATTTATATAATATCAATAAATAACATTTTTTGTGCATATTCTCATAATTATTCACTTTTGTGTGTGTATGTGTGTGTGTATATTATCCTATAAGTATGTTGATGCAAAATGCTTATATTCACATTGGTATACATATTAGGGCTGAAAACAAATCGCGCTGAAGAATGCTTGAGACTGTCCAGACTTTGCTTGTTTATTTTGTGGGCTTAGCTCTAGATTGGCTATGGTTTAATGACGAGTTCAAAAAAATGAGCATGATCTTGATTCTCGACTCAAGTGTGCTCACTATATAGCAAATGAAACATATTGCATATTGTTTTACAATTTTTGTAGTCCTAGTTTATAGATGTCCTTTTAATGCCTTTTTTGTTTTTTGGTTTTTTTTTTTTTTTTTTTTGGGTGAAATGGTAATTTATTTTAAAGATTCAACCAAATGGCTTTCTTCCACCTCCACTCTACCGTGTAGTTTATGCAGATACGATTTTTTATTTTTTTAGGTATTGTTTGCTGTTAAAGAATTGATTTGTGAATTCTTTAAATTGGAGTTGGTTACTGTTCTTTGGTTCAGATGTAGTTCATTTGGAATTCTTCCTTGATCACACATCATTTTACATCAATTGAATGTTTCATTATTTTTTGCAGGGGATCATCACAAGCTTTCTCTAGAGGTGGAGGAAGAGGAGGTGGCAGAGGCGGTGGACGTGGGGGTGGTGGCTTTCGCGGAAGGGGTGCTCCTAGGGGTAGAGGTGGCCCTCGAGGCGGAGGCGGTGGCCGTGGTGGTGGTTTTAGGGGCAGAGGGAGATATTAGAATATGACATTTTGTGTCTTATTTAGCACTCCTCTCTTTTGGAGTTGTCATTTCCAGATACATTGTGTAATTTTAAGGGTTCTGATATTGACTTTTGATCGTTAATGGCATGAGTTTTTTTAATCTGGCACGATGATATTGAGTGTACTAATTATAAGTATCTAAGGTGAAGAGGCATGCAAGTAATGGGGTCTCTTTGTTGATATTTAGCATGCTTCCTATCCTGTGCAGCTGTGCTGGCTTCTTAATGCCTGTTTGGGCCTTGATGATGTAGTTTGATGGATGTGTTTGGTTTTAGAATTTATTCTTAGCCTTGTTTGGATACAAAATTAGTGTTTTTCGGTTGGTGTCACAACTCACGAGTTTAAATTGTCATTTTTTTCGTTACTTATTTTATTGATAAAAAATTCACAGAATAATCGCATGGGCAATCCAAGTGATAAATCCTCCATTTTTTTTTTTTTAAAAAAAAAAACAAAGTTATATACAAAATCTTAAAAGGAGAGTTTCTATGTTTTTCTCATATTTTTGGGAGGATTTTAAAAAAGGAACTCGTGCACATTTTTTTGTTCTGCGGGGTATTATTATTGGACGCATGTGATTGGTAAAACGCAATTAAATCAAAATAGAGTGCAACAATTTATTTTGAGCCTCGAAATACTTTTGTTAGTCTCCATCAATCGAGATCGTAATATGATTAAATTGAAAATGTATCAAAATATATTAAGACTTGTAATAATATTGCAGTTTAATAATGCAATAATTTCATGTCCTTATGATTTGTTGACTCAAATGAATAAGTATGTAGCATTATTTATAAATTCAAGTTTTTGAATAAATGAACAAGCGTTTATCCGTTACAATAATATCGGAGTCAAATCAAGTCGTTAATTCGATGTCACACCAAGTGTCCAAATAAACTCATTCGGGTAAGTAGAATAATCCAACCGCAACGAAAACATCTTGAGTTCAAATAAAAAAAATATGTCACACCAAGTGTCCAAATAAACTCATTCGGGTAAGTAGAATAATCCAATCGCAACGAAAACATCTTGAGTTCAAATAAAAAAAATGTTACAACGAATATTTGTTTAAATTAGCACGGAAGGTGAAATGAATATGAATATCATGCTACTTCAAAATCCTCTACCAGACTAGCCGTAATCCGCTTCGATTTGATTAACCTAAGGTCACGGTCGATCACGATCACATTAGGATAACATTGTACGTAATCATCACCCACCAAAACACAACATTTAGAAAAAGTCCCACCTCTCACAGCTCAACACGTTTGTTTCCTAAATTGACTTTCATATAAACATAACAACTGTTAGAGTAGTAGGTGGCACAACTATTGACTTTGTAGTTAAAAAAAACCCACTATTCACCAATAACGCGTCTTCTATATTCACGTACACCCTTAAAAAAAGCCATGCCCTTGTTACACCACCTTCTGTCTTTCGCATTCTTTGTAAATAATGCCCATACCTATCATGAAACAAAACATAAAGAGGAAAATTTCTTATTACAAGTCCTAAATTCCTCCGATTGCCTGAAAATCAACCAAAGAATTCTTTTCCTTTCTCTTCAAGATAACCATACCTATCCTGAAAGGAAAATTTCTGATTACAAGTTCTAAATTCCTCCAATTGCCGGAAAATCGACCTGGGAATTCTTTTCCCTTGTCTGCAAGATATGTGTCCTTTGAGATTCATCTTGGTGTTCATCTCCGCAGTTCTTGCAGGGTATTTTGCATGGAGAACGGTTCGTTCTTCCGAGGAAAATGGAGTTTTGGTTTCAGAGGATTCCAAAGGGGAGAAGAAATCTTTGAAAGACAAACAAGGGTTCAACATGAAAAGGGTATATCACTGTGATTACTGTGTGTTTTTCTTCTGAGTTACTGTGTGTTTTTTTTCTTTTTCTTGCTTTGATTTCTTTTCTTTTATCTCTGACATTGTTTTAAATTCCAGATAATTCAAAACGGCTTCTGGGTATTTGTGGATATGGCCAGCGGGAGGTACTTGTGGAGAAATCTGAGGGAGATGAAGAAAGATGAGATCAAGAGCTGATAGATTTGACAATGGAAGAGACGGGATATTGTTTTATGTAAGAAATAAATGTATCAATTAACACTAGGTGGTATTTTCTCTTCTTTCAAAACAAAAGTTGGAGGTCAATGTGAGAGTTCTTTGACAGGCCAAAGAAAAAATACATTGTAGATTTTTTTTCTTTTTTTTGCTGGTTTTCTCTTTCAAATATGCGTACTCCGTTTGCTTGATTGAAACAATGCAAAATAGTAGTGAAATTTTTATGCCACTCTACAAATTTAATGTGTTGCTTTCACAGGATTCCACACGGGAAGGAAAATTAGTCCTACTTATCTTTCAAAGAAGAAAGTCGAGATTTCAATTCCCCAAATCAAGTGGAAATAATGTTTTCAGAATTTAAAGGAGATCAGGAATCCTATAACTTTTTCCATTCTACTTTTGGAACTAATAATATAGCAATGGAAAAGAAAAATTATAGTTCAGTGGAGGTATGGAATGCCTATTGTGGATGAAAAGAAATTAAGCCAGAAAACTTATAACAAGACAAGAAACACTGTAGATTTATTAAAGCAACATCTGTACAAACATCATTTAAGAAGGGAAATACATTTCATTACAGAAGATGCAGCAGCAATAGATTTAGTTTAAATCGACTTGCAGCTTAATAGACATGTACAAAAGGGTAAGAAGTGCACCTTGTGGAAGTGGGGCATACCTTGCAAGGTTTGATCCAACCCACATGGCTACAACCACCAGAGCAACTACACTACTGCTGGTTTTGCCACAAACCCAACTTGCAAATGAGAGGCACAAAGTAAGTAAAATGCCCCCCCTCCCACCCAAAACCCATGCTACCAGATAACCCACCTTATATCCAGCATCCAACTTACGATCAAGCAAAGCCATTAGGCTACTAAACGTGAGAGACAGTCGAGCTCCAATGGTTTGCATTAGGAACAGAGAGACGAAGGCAGATTTAAGCACGTCGCTGAAGGAGCCTCTTTCTTCATCTAGGATTTCTTCTTCAGACTCCTCATCTGTTTCGTTGTCAGAGAAAGAATTCTCCCCTCGGGCATTATATCGTTCCCACTGTCTTTCACGTTGCATTCTCTGTCTCAAATCAGCCCACCTATAAATCCTTATGCCATCATCAAATTCAGGGTTGTATTCCCAATTTCCTCTCCGTGGCCTATCAGTATCCTCTTGAAATTTGAGGGCCCGATCATACTGATTTCTTCTTGTTTCGTTAGATAATATCTGTCAATGGAAAAAGAAGAAAAGATAGGTTTTGTCACTGAATTTCACATACATTAGTCAAAGTTAAGAGTTTTCAAGTATTATTTTGTTTAATATGTAAAAGCAATCCATTGAAGGTGCCAAAGGGGCACAGTACATGTAAACAAATTTTTGACCAATCTCCCAGTAATGTTGGAGGGGATGTTGGTTATTATTTATTAATGCTTTCAATATATTTTCTCAAATATTTATAATAAAAGATCAAGCAGAAATCATCAGTTGAAACTTAAATTTTTAGTAACATTTCTTCACACATATTGGCTAGCTAAATGAGATTTGAGTCTCAAAATCCAGTCAAAATCTAGCATGCCAAAACCTGATCATCTTCCTCCGCAGTACTTCCTCCGAAAATTCCGGGCAAAACCAAAATCATCAATGCGCCTTCTCTTGCATTCCAGTTTGGGTCCATTGTTCAATCACCCCTTGGCGTTTCAAACAGAAGAGAGGAGTTTATTTCATAGACATGTTCCAAATCCCACATTGGAAGTGTACTTGGGTGGTCCCAGATCTTAAGTGGGTGTGGCAAAGCCAAGTCATGTTGGATAATCCATCCTATGAAAGTGGTATCAGCTAGCCCAAAGGTACATGATTCGGGAAATAGTTGCACAGGTCCCACGCACGACATTTGGAACCCCCTTGCAAAAACACAAGGGCTTAGGCAGTGGACCCGGCCCTGCGACACTTAACTATGTTGCAAGTGTAACAAATAACCTTATATACCTTGATGAGCTAACTTGATTAAACACTAGATTCAAATTTCCTAGGATTTGTGTGGGGATTCAAGCCAAGAGGAAAATCCCAAAAGGTTTCAAGCTGAGATTTTTCAAGATCTCCCATGGAATCCTCAAAAAATGCAAAATCTTCAAGGCAAATGGGCATTCCACCACCCCAAAAAGTCCTTGTAAGCATCAATGGCAGGTCAAAGGGAGGAGTCCTAAGGGCTATTCATGATGAATGGCAAAAAGTGCCCAAGAGGAAGGGCAAAGAAATTATAGTTGCAAATGGGGCATAATACTCAAGCAAGCCTTGAGGGTTGGCATTCCTCCTCAATCTCTACGCTACCAGTTACCAGTATTGAGGAATGTACTAAAAGGAGGAAAACAAAAAGGAAATTGGAAGAGAATTCTTTTTTTTTTTATAAGTTAAATTGGAAGAGAATTCTTAGGATTAAGGATACTCATGAAAAAGAAATAGCAATCTGATCTTGTAAGCCCAAGAATCATGTCTCAAACAAACAAGGAGGCCTCCAAATCCTTTGAAACCAGAGTGCGGGAAGGGTAATGATAATCTTTTTTAACTTCTACGTGCTGAAGCTAGCTTTTAAGCTCGTCTTGCTATTGTCTGTACTACTCTTGGATACCCATTCCTCTGGCATTCTGAGAGATCGTTCAGATTGTTGTGTTTGTTGCTTTAGGCATATGTGACCTATCCTGTCGGGTTGTGAGAATTCGCTCTCGTTGTTGTCTACAAGCGTGCTTTTGAGCTTTATTGTATATCATGTTTTCAGTTAATAAAATTTAAACTTCCATATTGGGAAAAAATAAAATAAATTAAAAATATATATATAAATATGCATATAACATATCACTCTCAAAGAATTTAGCAATGAACTTGTCGTAAATGTCAGGTCTGAGAAGTCATTGAATATCATTTCATTGGCTGGATTGGCAACAAACACAATCATTTACCCGGAATGATTACGGGTAAATCAGGGGTTGCATGAGTTTACATTACAATACTCCATTGACAATTAAACCAATAGGTCTGGTTCACAATCAGATATGAAAGAATAGAAGGAACCCAATTTCATAGTTCAAATTAAATCAGGGTACAATTAAATAAGATTAGCATATAAGTTCTAACCATCTAACTTGCTTTTTCTTCTTCCATAATATTCACAAAATTTTCAATAATTTAAAAAGTTTGATTAAATTAAAGTAACTGAAAACAATTAGAATAATTTAATTATGCACATTAATTATACAAATTAAAAAAGAATTCTAACGGCAGGGTCTTGGAAAGGGAGATCTCGAGACAAAACTAACCTTCATATTTCACACAGTGGTTGTTCTAAGGCTCAAACTCGCACCAGTGGCACTCGTCTCAGTGTAACAGTATCAGGAGTAATCAGGTAAGGCTTGACAGGAATTGATTTTGTCAACTTTTTCCAATCACTAGCTAACCACTAAAAATGACAAGCATGTTTTGAACCATTTTTGTCGTATTATAATATTTAAAATTGTCTTTTATGTATGCTATGACACAAAGATGTTTAACTTGCTATACTAGAATTTATATGGGTTCTAAGTCAAATTGAAAAGAAAGCACCGTCAATTATGAAGAACATATCAATAACTAATAACCAATAATGCAACTACAAGTCATAAACCATAAAAAAGAAAGAGTCATATATTTTATAACTCATTCATTTATGACTTTAGTCACTTCACCATAAAAAATAAATAAAAATAAACCATAAAAAAGAAAGAGTCATATATTTTATAACTCATTCATTTATGAGTTTAGTCACTTCACCATAAAAAATAAATAAAGAATAAAAAAATCGTGTGCAGGTTCTTGATGATTCTAATAATATCATAAAATTAATATCATTTTTTATAAAAAAAAATATGCTATGCTAAAGAGAAAATAAATAAATTCCAAAAAAAAGCCTCAAATGACAAATCGGATGGCTTAATCTAAAAAAATAACTCTCAGATCTTGTTACTCTAACATCTAATTAATAGATCCAGCCTCCAATACAAGTTTTAGAGCGTCACAAGAGAGCGGAGAAAAGAGAAGTTAAAAGAGGGAATACGAACAACTGTTGCAGCAATAACCTTAACCCCCCACACAAAAAATAATAAATAATTATTATTATAACAACAAATAAATAATTTTTGCAAGAATTATGTAATGCCATCTATTAATCGGATGTGATAGAGTCAAAAGGCTTCGAGACTATTAAGTAACAACCAGTATCTTAATCTATGATTGAACCATACACTACCATGTCTTTCCTTACTATCTCGATCCATACTCAAGTTGACCTTAAGTCCACTGTGGTCTTCTCAACAACTTGAGGGAGCTTTTTGAAATATTTCATACTGTATTAAAAGCAGCTATCAGTGTGCCAAAAACAAAGAAGAATAGAAATGCTCACATCATATGCAAGACGGATGCTCTTGAACACCTCATCAGCTTGTGAAACCTTGCTAACATCTGGATGATACTGCAATAGTGAAATAGAAGACACAAATTTAAATAACAACCATTTCATTGACAGTGAAAGGTCATAAAATCAACCTCACTGAGACTTCACATAATCAAATTTCCAATAAAAAAAAAACATAAATCAATAGCGGCACATAAATTTCTCATGAGTCGTCGTTAGCTAAAATTGGACAAAGTGGTGCTAAGAGCATGGCAAGGCAGAGACCTATAGCATTCCATCTAAACTGTTCCTATAGATGTCACTGTTGCCATACCCTAACAGAAGATAGAGGTCCCCAAAAAATGGTAAATAAGAAATGTGAATAAATGCAGTACAATAATTACAATACAATCAGCACAATTGGCAAACATGTCAAATTTAGCTCACTGAGCAATGGTGAAAAGTTTAATTGCCAAAAGCTTTGCCACATGCATCTTGGCTAAAGATTCCACATGTCCCTTGTTGCGCACCATCCAAGCCACATGAAACAAAATTCTAGCATGTGAACTCTTACCCTCAAAGTCTTAGTATAAACGTCCATGATTTTCCCAATCACTAAATTGCAAAACCACAACCACAGTTGGATCACTAGATCCCTATAACAAACAAAAGATCTTTTCACCCGAGTTAATTTTCATCTTTGTATACAATGCTCCACAAACTGAAGCCCCACGCCTTTCACTCTTCTAATGGAGTTTTACATAGCCTGCTTGCATGACAAATATGGGTGTTTAATGCCTACCACTATAATTACAAACCATTGAGAATAGGATATATGAATATCCTTCATTGAATAACTTTTATATACGTTCATGTTTGAGTGCATTTGTGATTATAACAATAGTGAAAATAAAAAATTAATAAACTTTTATCATAGACAGCACCCTAGAATTCAATGTAAAATTCATACAAGTATTATTATATAATTAGAATAAAAAAATGCAATATTTATCATGTTTAGCAAGTTATTGAAATTGTGTGGCTCTTGCCTATCATGGATCAATCACATCAGTGTACAATTAACAGGCTAAGGCAAAATTTATCCTTTGTAGATTGCAAGGCCTTTGCTTTTCCCTTGAATTCTCGGGAAATTAATAAAATTAAATTAAATTAAAAAAAACAAATACAGCAGTAACATGCTTTACCGATCCCAAAATCTCCATCATCATAACCAAAATTCACATAAATTATACATACTCGGCAACACACACAAACATATATACGCATATAGATATAATACCTTGAGAGCGAGAAGACGATAGGCCTTTTTGATATCTGCTGGGGAAGCATCCGGTGAGACGCCGAGGACGGCGTAGTAGTTCTGATCGCCGTTGATGGTGGCGGATGCGGTAACTGGGGCCCACAAACGACGATGGGTACTAGGGCTACGGCTGTGGGGCCAGATACACGGGCCAATGAAGAGGCTCCGATTGGCGGCGGCGGCGGGAGTGATCTTTCCACCGCCGTCGATGGAGGTTGGTCCCAGTAAGAGGTATGCCTGCATTTTTGTGCTCTTCAGGCATTCATGTCCACTCCTCTGTGTCGTGGTTTTTCAATCTCACTGCTGGAAATGGAAGTGAGGTCGCATAGGTTTCCATGAGGACGCACATGACATTTGTCATGTGGTCCCGGAATCGGATATCTCCGTTGCTTTCTGTCTCATGTGGTCCCGGAATCGGATCTCTCCGTTGCTTTCTGTCTCATGTTTTCTTTTTATTCGATCGGATGGTTCATAAAACTCCACATTTTTAAAAATCTTAAATCAGTTAATGTGAAGTGTGTTGTGACTGTTGTCGTGTTGATCAAAAAAATCCTTCTGTTCTTCAAAAAAAATTAAAAATTTCTTGTTTAAGAACTGAACTTTTTAAAAGTGTATTTTTTAATATTTTGTATTAACATGCTAGAAAATAAATTTTCAAATATGGTAGGTCTTATTTTAAATTTTAATTATTTTTATAACATAAAAGTAAGGTGGGATTAATTAAGAATATAAAAATAATAATAATACATTAGATTTTAAATTGAAATAATTATTTTGAAACAGTTAAAATGAAAGAGAAACAATTTTGATGAGTTGGAGGGAGTGTTAAGAAGAAAAAAAAAACAAAGGAAAGGAAGAATCTTGATAATGCACCCGTTAAGTTTATACACATAGCGAGTACGATGAAAGATAATACAGATTAATAAACATATTTAGGTATTTTGGAATTGGATGAACTACTGTTTGGGTGAGCTTCTTGTAGCCTCAAAAAGTGCTTTTAAGACCATAAAAACCTTTTTCAATAATAACAGTATTTAGTAAAAATTTTGAAAACGGACTTTTAAAAAGTCTAAATAGCTCGATTGACCAAAACTAATAAAACATATTTTCTAATGCAAACTACATGTTTTTTAAGTAATAAATGTAAAATTCCTATATTGTCCATTATTTAACCAATTTCTATTTTTGCAAACTTTTATCTTTCTCTTTCTGTATCATCTTCTTCATTCGCTCTGTACCCAAAAAGTAAAAAAAATAATGTTGATCAAAATTTCACAGAACCTTATTGAAAAAAATATTGTTAAAAAACGATTCAACAAAGGAAGAACAAGAGATTGTGAAGTTGTAATAAAAATTATTATTGACTCTTATTTGATTTCAAAGTCTGAAGAATTCCAAAATTTATGAACACACATCCAAAATTCAACTCTAAGTAGAATTCTAAATAACTTTCATTTCTCTCAAAAAACAAAATATATATATATATATGGGTTATTTAGTATATCGAAAGGAAAGTTATTTTAAATTACTTTCCTTTCTATATTCTAAATAACCCTAAGTAGAAAATAACTTTTCTTTCTCTCAATATATATATATATATATTGTGTGCGTGAAAATATATAAAAAAATAAAAAATAAAAAAAAATTGAAGGCTACCCGTTCCACTATTAAAGTGATTTATAGTTATAAATAAAAATAAAAATAGAATATTTTTGCTGTCATCTCTCTCTTTCATTTTATTTTTCTTTCCTCTTTTTCCATATCTTTCAACTTCTATCATGCAGTCAAGAAAAAAAAAAAAAAAACTTCTACCATGTAGATTGGGTTAAATTTGTATACCCGGATCTTCAATTTCACTTCATCACTTTAAATATGGTTTTTATTATCTTCCTTGTCTTTGCTATTATTTATGGTTTATTAAAAATATAATTGTCAAGTTAAATTAGGTTAATATTTAAAAAAACTTTAAAAAATTTACCCACCAAACAACTTTTTGTTTTAAATTCCTTTCATCAAAGCCGAATCAGTGAAAGGAATTTTAGAAACTGAAAGCTTTCCCAAACATTTAATAATTTTCATGGAACTTTGTTTTTTTATTATTAAAATTTCTTAATTTTTATGTTTTCATCATATTATATAAACTTTTTTTTACCCCAGAAAGTATAAGAATTGCACATAAGACATGAATTAAAAGTTTACATATATTCATCAAATACTATAAGAGTTTATGCAAATATTTGTGAGTGAGTTCATTTAGGAACATATTGTGAATAATAAATGTATATTTACTACAAAAAAAATTCAAAACAAATAAATCTCAAGAAAACAATGTTAACGAACAAGGCCCCAAAATGAATCCAAACTAAAGTTGCCTGATTAAATTTTTTTTTTCTTAATTTTTTTAATTACCCCACTGCATATGAGACGGGACTTCACGTGCCCAATGTGAATTATGAGATATACTAAAACATCACAATTGTCCTCGAGAAAAAACAAAATAATTTTTTTTTTTTTGCTTGCCTAATTAAGTAATGTGAGCTGCTCATAAATACTCCGTCCATAGATTGGTTTCAACTGGCACTTTCAAAGTTTCAAGTTGCTGCATCCTTTTCACCCCAATTTCCATTAGTTTATACCCAAGGGTGAAAAAAATAGGCCCAAAGCACAAAGTCGAGGCCCAACCCTAAAAGAGAGTGGGTTAGGCTTATCAAATTTTCTACAGCCTGTTAGCAGTTGGCCCAATGACCAATCAAGCCCCATCAGACTAGGACACCCAGTTGGGGGGTCAGGCCGGCCCATTGTGCATACTTGGTTATACCTAAGAAATTGAATTGCAACTGGGGATGGCAAATTCCCCATTCCCGTCGGGTCCTCGCCCACCCCGTCCTGTTTATAGCGGGGATGGGGATGGGAGTAAATTTTAAATACCCGTCGAGGACGGGGTCGGGGGCGGGGCGGGTTTACCGTAAACCCGCCCCGATTAAGTGTTAAATTACTAATATACCCTTATATTTAATAATTTATTATTAAATTAGATTTAGTATATATATGAAAATAAGAAAAATTATGTTTTTTGTAATGTTTATATATATATATAAATGTTAAAGTTAAATAAATATTTATTTACTTACCTGTGGGGCCCGCATGAGTTTTAAGTCAATGTAAATGACTTAAGAGTCATTATACAGACCCATTTATTCCTCTCTCTCTCTCTCTCTCTTTCTCTCTCTGCGTCCAGTCTCTCTCGACATTTCTTTTTTTTCACTTTTTTGCAATTTCAAGCTTTGATCTCACCCTCACCAATTGGAATTTAGTAGAATCTTGTGAAGCAAAGTCGGAGAGCATGGCGAGATCTACGCGTGGGTACCAGCAATTTAAGCTTTAATGCTCTCTAGGGATTTCGAATTTGAGACCCATTTTGGGGTTTTTCTCTCATTTGAGGTAGGGGTGCTTTAATCCACTAATTCTTGATTTTTTTGTGAATTTTTCCATCTAATTTGACTTTATGTATGCTTAATTTTAATTTTTTGTGATTATGTTTGTTAAGGTTATTTACATTGATGGTGATAAATGCGTGTAATGTGTTAATTGGGCTTATTAGAGTGATGATTTTTAACTTGTAAAGAAGCATGCTTAGTGTTGGTTTGTTTCATGATATCAATTGCTATGAAAATTTATGTTATAATTAGGGAAATAAATTTGTGAATTGTATATTTAAATTGCTAGCAAAATGTGGAATAAGAATATGAGTTGTGTATTTTTTGTAATTTATTAATTTATTTGAAAAAGTATATGGGAACTTTATGGTTGAATTGATGAAATGAAGCATGAAACATTCATGCATCCATTAGGAAAGAAAAAGGGGGAAAAATGTTTTAAAATAAATGAATTTGTTCTTGGGAAAAATATAAAAAAAAATTTCAAAGGAATTTGCGAAAACCGGACGCCTAGGAGGCGCCTACCGGTCCGTATTGTTAGTGTAGTCTAGAAGGGAGTATGGTTGAGCTAATTAGGCCAGATGCGACGCCTTGGAGGTGCCTTATAGTCATGGATAGTTAGTCAACCCTCCATTTGTGACGTCTTGGAAGTGCCTTGAGTCAGATTACACTAACGGTTTGGAAGTTGAAACGGAAATGTTTCGGAAAATGGGGAGTGACATTTGCATAACATTGCACTTCATGACATTGTGGTAAACTTGTGATTGGTTGATATTTGTTACATACTTGTTATTGTGTTGAGAATGTGCGTTTCCCTGTGGCATGATCCCGTTCACTTTTATCTATTCATTGTATGGATTCACGGGGATACAAGAAAAGTGTCTTAGACACTTCCTACTGAGCTTATGCTCACCCCATTATTTTTAACATTTTTTAGGACACGAAAAAGAGGTGGCGGACGACGATCCACCATAATTTTAGACAAGTATGGAGACCTATTTTATTTTGTTATCTTTTGTATTAGAACTCTAATATTTTGTAAATGTAATCTTAACTATATTGAGAAACTTTAGTTTAATTGGTATAATGTTGTAAGTTATGGACTTTTAAATTCTAGCTACGTTTTACGGACTGTAACTTGATGTAACTTAATTGTGTTCCTTATTTGGATGAGATGGAAGAACGGGAATTTTTTGTATGTATGTAGTCATTTTAGAAATGTGATATAATATCTGTATTATGCGTTGGGACATGGTAGGTTATCTTAAGGCCCAGTGAGGTCATTGCATCATTTTTTTGTATTTCAACAGGTCGTAGAGGAACATTTTCTGTGGAGGTTATGCCGAAATTTTATATTTTTATTATTATTTTGGTATCTAGTTGAGTCGTTACAAATTTAATATCAGAACGAATGTTCATATACCATTAGGACGACGGGTAGAGGTCTACCTAGGATTGCATGGGGAGTTGAGTTATTTGTTTACTTACTTAATTGCTTACGTGATTGCATGCTTATACACATATGTGTTAAGGTGTTCAATTATTTGAAAGGCATGCTTAATTGTTTAACTGCTTATATGATTACGTGTTAAGTGTTTAATGTTGTTGTATATTATTAGCATGATCGTGTTTATCATTAATTGGATATTTTGGGAGTATGGAATGTGTTTATGTGTTTCCATTCTTGTCAAGTCATTCATGTGAGGACTTCGTTCTCGTGCGTATTTTAGTGTCATCATAATTGATCCGTTTCATTTTTCTTACAGCGTTATGCCACCACGAAGGGATCCCGGGGAAAGTTCTAACTCCAATCCCATGGAAAGGGATCAGGAGCAAATTGAGGAAGATATCTTGTTGCGTGATTTGGTCCCACCAAGAGGGGGACCG